GCATACGTAGGTTTTATTCCGTTGCATAGTCTTCCCTTTTAATTGACGATTTTTTGAATAGTTCATAAAAATTATAAACATATTTGAAAAGTGAAACGAGTAAAGCTTACAGGTACTTACAAGAGAGAAGGTCGGTTGTGGGCGTTTTAGGCGAAGGTGTATCGACCAGATTGACGATATACTAAAGAAGGGCCGTAAAAAATGCCTGTGAGCGACAAGCCGGCGTAAGATAAAAGCGGACCTTATCTCCCCAAACTATAAAGGCCACTGGGACAACGCGTTAAAAAAAACAACTTAAAAAGGATGCTATGAACTTGAACTTTAATGTAGAGATTAAATAAAAAAAATGCAACTTTATACTATTTTTAATTATTTCCTTAAAAATACAAATTAAATAACTGTTAAAAATTTTAATTCAATGCTCGCGTACCGATTCACCGACAACGAAACGGCTTCCGCTTAGCGCAGCCGACTGGAACTTTGTCCGGCCAAAAAATTAAACAATGCTGAATAACAAACAAGAAAATATCTTCCCAGAGCTCGTTGGAATTATCAAAATTATTCTAAGAATTATATGACGCATAATGACTTGCGTGCACTTAAAACTATAGTAAATTCAACGTCGCGTTGGGTACAAGCAAAACATACAATGCGTTCACACCTAATCGTGCTCTGAAACCACAACAATATACAGCTTGTTTTATTTCATGTTTATTCAATGTTATTTTGAAATATCGCGTCGTTCTGCAACCATAATATGTTTTTATTACTTAAATGCCTTGTAAGTTGCTGCTTTTACTAGTTTTTCACTCTACACCACAATATGATGTATCCAAAAAGCACAGATCATATAACGATCTGAAATAAAATATAATAATCTATAGTTCCCAAAACATCTATAGCTTAATGCTGTAGCTTTAGCTTAATTGTTTAATTATTATCTACTGTCTACTCAGACTTGAATATAATCTATACATATAGAATACGTGCAAAACTTATTAATTCGCAGTACAAATTAACGTACACAAATAGTTAAGTGGGTCAGTGCGAATTAAGGAAGCGATAAGTAATAGAAACACACTGTATCAGGATGGTGTCACCGGCAAATCGTGAACGTCGCCCATACATAATTTGTCCAGGCAAAACGATTTGTTTTTGCAAAATATCTTACAATATTTCAATTATTATACTTCGACACTTTGGCAACGAGTCACTTCATATTTGATTTTATGGCAATGTGACCTTACGATTTGACTAGGCAAATTATAAGTTGCCAGCATTTATGATTTACCGGTGACATACATACCTCGCCGTTTGGCTTGCCTCGCGCCTTGCTCGTCGTGCGTCGCGTGCCGTCGGCTGTCGCAGGAAGCACGCTCCGCTACTCGACCCACGTTGTCCCTCAGCCTGTAGACTTGACAAACACCTTATACGATGTAGGCCACGCATAGATATTATAACCGAATTAATAATATCGGCGCACAGTGCACTATGATATGCCTTATCGACACCTAATGCGGCGATGTTATTTTACCATGAGTAATGCAGAACTAATAAAATAAAAACATTTTCATTTCGTTAAACCTATTTGCATCAGTCACTCTCTGGTCACTAAGCAAATATCAATTACTATTACTGTAACCTTTAGAAATGTAGTAATAGAAACGTACAATCAGAGACACAAACGATCGATTACGTTTCTTAGTGGCAGATGATGTCAAAAGTACTAATCGTTTCTATCTCTAATACTTCCAATAAATAGCTGTAAAATAGCATCGATAGTTGCAACTGTTGCAAGTACTAGATTGTTGTTCTCAATAAAAAATACCACCTGTCTAGTCTTCCTGTTACCATTTTATAAAGTGTGTTCGTTCAACTTTACGGTAAATAACAATATGTACCGTATTATTAAGAACAATGGAAGACGTTAAGACATTGCCATTAAGACAGTTAAATTGTTTTGTATGTTATTCGAAAACAATTAGTTAAAATTAAATACAAAAAAACTCTAAATGTTTATAAGAACACAAAAGAAAGGACACAATTTCTTCAGATTTTTTTAATCATGCAAAACAGTAAACAGTAATCTGTCTTAAGGTTTGCTAGGTCAAGGACATTAGTGATTTATTATTAAAAATAACAGACGGACAAGGCAGCGTTGCAATGTATACTTTTCAATTTGAACACACAGGTTTGTGTACACAAAATATAATGCGTCAGAAATGTTGAACAGGTTTATAAAAACGACTGCTTAAAATCATTCATTCTCAACGGTTGAATGGTTTCTAATAACATAGGAAACAGGGTAGGGAACGCAGGTACACAAGTGTCGTCTTATTAAAAAGGTCCCGTCTGTTACAAGTGGCGCTTTCTGGAATCCTATTCCGACCCTATTTTTAAAATTTAGATCTCACAATTTGAAATAATTTCGCAACCGTTTCGTTAATTCGCCCATGCTCTAATTCGACTGTTTTTTTTTTAATTAGACCGCGTCAAATAGCGTTAAAAATACTTAGCAATATTAGACAAGCTTAAGCGCAAAGGAACCAAGATCACTCCTACATCAGCTTACGCTGCTGCGGACTGTACACACGGTCCTAGTATACGTAATTACAAGTACAAAAATTATAATTAAGAAATGTTTCTACTAAAACATCAAAATATAAACAGAAAGTGTTAAACTTTTTCAAAGTAGAGTTCATTGAATTACAATAATAGGTACAATTTCATTTACTTATCAATACTAGGAAGTCAGTCAGGTATCGGTACTACAAACATTTGTGTTATCAAATATTGACGTCTCTTTTCTACGTAGGTGTTACTATATTTTTTCCTTGTCGCAAGCAAACCCTATTTACGGTGTACGGGCAGCAAAAACAATTTCTTAACGCGCGCGTACCTACGTATTTTGAGGTTATGTCAGTATTAATCTGACGGCGTCGTCAGACGAACGTATTGCGCGTTGTCGGCGTATTGTCGTGTACGTTGTACTTGTGTATTGTTGTACTCGTACTTAGAGATCGATATAAATTGAATGCAGTGCTTACTTTTGATTTGTTATTTAATATTATTGAACAGGAATGATCGTTACTTTTAAACTAAAGTTTCAACCGATCGCGTATGTTTGGGATTTCAACGTTTCATTGTAATGTGAGTACTATTTTTAATTGTTTCTTGTTATTTTAGTTCTTAGTTTATTGTTTTGTCATCTATTAAACTAAAAAAAACTTGATTTGTTTTTTGGTCTGTGGTATGGTTTCATTAATAACTTATAATATAATCAATTATCTTTCGCGTTAGCGAAAAACCGTTACGTTTAAATGATGAATATAAACAGTTTGAATTCAGATTTATTTGGTTAGTGTTTGTATTTATTATTTTTGTAACGTTCTAAAAATATGATTTTCACAAATTTTACACGAAATCTGAATAACCTGAATAAAACAAATGAATATTCAATTAATAAATGCTTGAAATGTTATTAAAATCTTTATTATAAAACGAAGGTTTAAATTGTGATAGAAAAGTTAGAAAATGTATACAATATAAGGGGTTCCTATCCGACGTCCCCTTGTCCGGCGTCCCTCGCCGGTTACACTTCGCAAGTCAGCTCTATTGGAACATTATGGGTGGATTTATCGCTCTTGAGGCTCTCGTGATAAAGTGGATATTCCCTTGATAGTGTTTACAAAAAGCTTAGGGCCCGTCATCACGGTGCATTCGTGCTACACCCTCGGTTTATTAGCTGTATCTTATGCGTGCCGCTGTTGTCGCGGCTGCAACAGCCATTAGGCGATTAATTCATCGTATTGTTACGACATTCATTGTTGTGCAAATTACATCTGGAGACATTTAACCGCTCGAACATAAAATGTAAACGGTTACACCATCTTGATAAACATTATTCTAATATCCCTAAATGTACAACGATTGTCTTGTTTAAGTTACTCGATGCAAATTGACTGTTCGGTCATTGCTCTTGTAGAAACACAACAAATTAGTATAGACACTTAATTATGGGTAAAGTGGTGCGTCATAGTGGCGTCCACTTTTCAACGAGGATGTTAATTTATTCAATGCCGTATAGAGTTCACGCAAACTTTAGCTTCCGTTAACAAATGAAAAACGTTAATAGCTCACATTGTGACGGTTGCTGCTACGATTCCTAATTATTTCAACAAATAATTGTTGTTCTTTGAACCTGCATTTGTACTATTTTTTTAATAAAAACCATCTATAATTTTTCTACAGCCCGAAACAATTGAGGTTTTGACATTGTTTTGCATTGATGTTTTAAAAACACCAATGATGGTCATTGTAATGAGCCGCGAAATTAAATAGACGTTTGAATTACAAATACTAGTCCATTCATTAATTAAATATAATATATAATGAGTCATAACTCTGCGTCGGTGCCAGAAATTAATCGTGGTTCACCTCAAAAGGAAACTGCATTAATTAAAGTGGACAAAACAAAACTCGGTCCAGCGTGGAAGCGGGCCAGCTGTGTGGGTTACTTTTATGTCAGATTGATCGAATCATAAGAGAAATAAAGTAAAATACAGTTAGGTGTATTCACCTGTCTAGAAATATACAACTTTATTTCGGATTTAAAATATTGGTTAACGTTTTAAATCATACGAACTTTTCATAAATCAATACATAAAAAAAGTGTTCTTCTGTCTGGAGGTGAAAATACTTAAAGGATTTTTACTTAGATTTATTTATGACTAAAAATTAACCTTGTACGGTTCACAATAATTGTGGATAATTAAATTTTGTGCAACGTTACGATAAAATATTGTTAAGTAATCTATTAGGAACATATTTTCATTAGTCATTAACCGCACGCCGAGCGTCACTACATACGGGCTAACGATTAAATGAAAACACGCTTGCTATCTCTGTCTGTCGAGGGGCACTGTATGGGTTATTCACCGCATGCGGGCTAAGAACCAATGAAATTCGTCGGTCGGTGTAAAGCAAGCGGCATGCGGGGGGATTCAGTTGACGAATATTATTAGACCAGGACTGACGCTGCGCCGGTAAATAATGGCTGAACGATTTACCGAATTGCAAATGTTTAAGCTAGTTGAAATATATCAAGAATACCCATGTTTATGGAATGTTACTAACGAATTATATAAAAACCGGCAAGCAAGGGAAAGTGCATACAAAGAAATTTGGGAAAAGCTAAACATCCCTGGCCTCACCATAAAAGATATACCGAAAAAAATTAAAAATATGAGATCATCTTACTACCAGGAAATAAAAAGAATCGAAAAAAGTACTAAATCAGGCTGTGGACCAGATTCTATCTATCAACCAAAGGTTGCGTGGTTTACAACAGCTGATGGATTTTTAAGGATCGTCAGAAATTATCAAGAAATATTCTGGAATGTGAGTAATATTTTTTATATTCATTTTAGACTATTAATAACAAAATATAATACTTTTGAATTAACATCTTGTTCCGAAGGAGTTATGGTTTGTGTCAATTGAAATATACCTATATCTCGTCAATATTTTTGGCGGCCAAGGGTACTGCGTAATGCTCCCCCTGCTGACCCCCTCCCTCCCACATCCTATTACCGGTTCAAATAATCTGATCGCACAATGGTAACATTAAATAACAATACAGTTCTTGTAATCTTTTGCGCATTCACTGTATTGTTTACAATTCTGTTTGCATTTTTTCTGTATTTCGTGTATTGTTAGACACAAGCCTGCAAACCATTGCATAGATAGAAAAATATTACTCTTTCTCTATAAAACGCGTTGTGCTTAAGTGAATTTCTTAGTACAGTAGAACCTCAATAAGTTGAAGTCTAAGGGAAACACACAATATTTTAAGTTATAGAGGTTTTAAGTTATCAAGGGTCTATGTTGTAGAAGTTTTGGGCTCCGATGGGAAGGGAACATATTATTTTTTGAAGTTATAGAGGTTTTTAAGTTACCCGGGTTTGAGTTATCGAGGTTCTATTGTGTGTAGACGTTTCTTTTATCACCTTTGGGCATGTTTTGAAATAGTTCTGTACGTACTTGTGCATCACACAGGGTAATCTATCTTCCACAGCTATTTCAACGCAGAGTCACTATCGAAACATCTGATTTTCAAACATATAGTTGAACAGATAAACGATGAATAAATACGAATAAAATCAGGCAGAATTATGCACACATTTAACAACACTGATTAGAAAAAAGTAAACAAATACGTAAAAAGTCGTATTTTCATCGGGATTTAATATAGAGTATTTATACGATAATGTAAAAATTAAGCAGATTCAATATCAATATAAATTCTTATAAACATCGCCGTCATGATATCTGCTCTTAGCCCTAATCAATGTAACTGATAGATGTAATAATAATAATCATCTAAAGTAGTAATTTATGATCTGAATTTAGATGTACCTACACAAGCCGGATCCGCTATTCACTTGTCTTGACTTTATGCCATCATTACATACAGGGCAATACTATTTAACCCTAATCCAGTTTTTATTTCCTACAATTTACTCTCAATATTTGGCACCTGAAATATAAAACATTGTGTCATTGGTATTGTGCTTACAGATGCATGAAAATTCAAATACAACTTCAGATAATTCCGAAATACAAAATTACGACTACAGTTTAAATGATGAAATATCAAACTCCGCAGCAGATTATTCGAGTAATCCAGATGAAATCGATGACACGATATGCAATTGTAGTCGACAAAACGAAGAATTACCTGAATTCACTGCACCATCAACGAAAGCATTTAAAAAAACGAAGAAGAAAAAAGATGAAGACATATTTGTAGCTATTGAAAGATTAGATAAAATTGCAAACACATTAACAAATGCAACGAATTTACTTATCAATCACAAAGAAGATGAATTTGATGTTTTTGGAAAATACATAGCAATGAGTTTACATGCTTTGCCACTGGAACTAGGCATTTTGGCGAAAACAGATATTCAAAAGGCATTATCAGATATTCAAATTAAAGCTTTAAGACAAAACACTCAAAATCCATTATTATATGCAGCTTCCACGTCTTATAATCCTCATGCGGAGAGTCCCCAAATGCCGGCTAACGAGGGTCATAGCGAGTCTCTAATAATGCCTAAAGAAACAGAAAATAACACAAATTAAAACCACCGTACGGTAACCGATAACAAAGAAAAGAAAAATGTTGCGCACCTGTTGAAGTATCGCTAATGTATTCCATAAATTAAATCCAGTTATTTTGAAGGTAAAGTTTACTAAGCATTACAAAGTAAAGAATTTACAGTATTTCATGTTACTAAAAGTGTCTTCGTTCCCAATCGAATCTTACCCAGAGAGTATACAATAAAAAAAAACTAATTATACCATTATTTAGTAAGTATCGAGGTAACTACCTACTTATGTTAAGCTTGAAGTTACAGTAAAAGGATCTCACGAGCTAATGATCTCGGATTATTTTCTAAGCTCTAGAAGTTGCTCTTGGGTGTATCAGGAATGTCAGAACTTTATATATCATTATCTGATTGATTGATCTGGACCACGTAAAATAGTCTTCGTTGTCTATTTTCAACGTTTAAGGTATTGGGAACTATTTTTTCGAGAGAACGAATTGATAAGCTAGAATTTGACTATATGTGTATTTAATGCAAAAGTGTTTACATATGGCATCACCGTTTTAATTGGTTTTGGTTATTAAAATAAGATTTATTACTTTACAATAAACCATTATTAAATTTAGCTTTTGTAAATCTTTAGACGATAGAAAATAGGTTCAATAAATAAATAACAATGTTACAAAACGAAATCAAAAATGTTTTATATGATTTTACCTTTTTGTAGTTAGGATTGTTTATGTAAAGTAACACGTGTACGTCTTACAGCCGACGTTCAGTTTACACGTTTCTATTCCGCAAAATATGCCTATTTTTAGTGTCCTACATATGCACCTCGAACGTTACGAAAGCAACCAACATGTGTCTCATTGTTCCTAATTCATTAACTGCGCAGCTCATCTATTACGTATGCACTCTACCAGTTAAGTTATAACCATGTGACTAGATGTGTTTTGTTTATAGGGCACAGCCATATGTCTAACGAATCGTCTTCCATATTCAGAGGTAGTTTTCATAAGTAATAACTCATTGAAAATTCCTCTGACTAAATCTACCTTTGGTATTTCCTTAGTGACCAATTTACTCTCGTATATCAGTACAAGATTCATCTACATTAAGAACAAACATTTTGTTGTCCCTTATCTCGCTAAATTTTTGTGTTTTTGTGCAATACGTGATTTTTCTGTATTGGCAATCTGCGTATACTCTAGTTTAAATTTTACTTGTCTTATCTAGAGTAAAATATACTAAGATGTAAACCAAAAGTTGTTGATCGATTCACATTACCTCATTGTTTGGATGATTAACAGGATAAGGTTTCCATTCCTTTTGTACAAGAGTAATAATAACAGTAGAGTTTCATATATCCTTTGTATTCGTTAGTTATTGACACGTGTATGTTAGGTGCGCATAGTTTTGTTATCCGCCGAGGCCTTGATCTATGCAATTTAACAAGCGAGAGCGCATTTTGACACGATTTTATAACCTATCACGACATGTTGTCACGCGAGACGAATTTTCGAAAATTTTCCGCTTAAGTATAAGTATATTCAAAATTTACAAATTTTAAAATTGGATGTATGTTGGACTTCAAATAGGATAAGAGCTCAAAGCAGTATAATAATAGAAATATTACAGAGACACGAAACACCTCAGTCCACTTTCCCTTCTTTTGTACAAAAAATATTAGTGAAGAACGTGTCACTCATGTGAATAACGATGTTGTTGATTAATAGTATTGGTCACGAGACATCGAGTCTTCTGTTTTATCGTTTATCCACATAAAAAAAGCTTAAATACGCCACTTTAAGATGCACATAACAACTTCACAAGTCAGCTAAAAATAGTAATGATGTCTACAAAAACAGTCAAACCTTGAACCATTGCCGTTTCATACGATTTAATTTATACAATAAATATGTCATGATGTAGTTATATACTTGTATATAGAGAGATACAAGTCTTGTAATGAAACGGAGTGCACAATGGCATCTTTATGTAACGGGCCACATACTAACAGGCGGTAAGAAATGCGCCGATGACAGGCTACTGTGTATAGCATAGCGTTCAGAATAATGGGAACATACCACTGTATCTGTCATATGGGAAAAACACAACGCAACAAACATTCTATATTCTTCGAGTAAGTTTTGCAGGTTTTGGAAACAGGCTTTTATATTTACAGTGTTGATATCGAATGCATAAAAAATAACTTGACATAAATAGTTTACAATTTATTTTTTAATTTTTGAACTCTTAAAATTTTACTTAAAACATGCATAGTTGGCATTGAGATAATACAGGCGTCCTATAGTTCTTCGTATATTCTTAAGTTGCAGTATACTTGATGTTAATTAAGTTAAGCGTTATTGTCATTCAATAAATATAATTCTCAATTATGTAACTCGGTTACATAAGATAATTATCTCTTAGTAATTATTTTTTATTGTCAATTGTCAAGGACTAAATAACAAAAGATTTCCGTAACTTTTGTTAAGAGAAAAATCTTTGAGACATCTTACTTTTATATGATTTTTATGGTTTTATTTTTTAATTAGTACAAAAGATCTTAAATAACATTAATAATTGTAAGTGAAAGTGTTTGATTTAATCTGTAATCAATTCAAAGATTAGAATCTATTTAAATGATCGCATGTCAAAACAATATGTGCGTGCAAGAAATGCTCTCATGTGTTTTCTTCAACATGAATACGGGTCGCGTACGATATCAAAACGTGCCCATTAACCTCTGTAAGTACATACTTTTACTCTTGTGAAACCTCGAACATTGTCCCACATACGACGTAGCGAATCTCAATGTTCCCCGCACTCATCTATCCGTTCAGCCTACTTTTGTTTTTGCGTGGGCTATTGATTCTATATTACCAAGTGGATAAAGAGTAAGATAATTATCCTTATTACAATTGTGAATTAAAAACAAAATAATAAAACATACAAATACAAACATACAAATAAAGACGAAAACTAAATACTCAATGCAGATGAGAAATCTTTAAATTTTTATTTTTATTTTTACTGCATTACCGTAATGAGGGTATACATATAGTTAAATATTCTATGAAAACAAATACCATGATTTTATTCTAATAAAAAAGGCACGTGGTGCTTTGATCCTATTGTTTTCTCCCTCGCCTCCGTCTATCTGAAACATAACTTTGATAGCGTTATACCAGACGTCTAGACGGGAACATATAAATGTAAATATATATGATGGTCTGCGATGCCCCTTCTATACGAATAGGGGATACCTCAAATCGAAAATAGCGAATATAAAAAAGACATTGTTAATTAAATAGATACTAGCTAGTGAAAGGGGACTTATTCGCATCGTCGTCAGGATTTCACGGTTACTTATTCCCGTATTTCAACAAGATATTAGGTAGAAACAAGGTCAATCCTATGAAGAAACCGGGCAAATATTTGATGATATAGGTATACAATATTATACTATATTTAATTTTAAACGAATTCACATAGTTAATTTAAGGTAAATGATATCGGATACGGTGTCTTCATTCATAACATGCTCCACTTCCTATAGAACCAATAAGACAATGAAAACTGGCGCAAACAGATTTCTCTTGAGAAAAATAATGAAGGAGGCTGGCTGAACAATAATGGTAAGAGCGAAATGTTATTTCCCAGATTCCCGAGATTAAATCTAGCGCATTCTGCTGTTAGAAACAGCTAGATTACAGCTAGATGTAATCTCATAGTAATTGGATTCCTATTCGATATGTTTTAAACTATTGCATCACATCGATACAGTTCCAGGGTAAATCAGTCATTATTCTAAACATCAATTATTTGCAAATCTTTTTCTAAAGTTCAGTTTCTTGAGATACAATATTTTAGACAAAGTTTTTATTAAATTAGCCAAGTTTTCATACAAGTTAATGACCGAGGTAATAAATTCATGAAGGAAAATGCTCGCACGCATTTCAAATTATCGTGAACCGGCGTTTAATTTTGCTTATCTAAGTCTTTAATTAAAATTTGGAAACACAATGGTAATGTTGGCTTAATTATTTTTGTAATTTTATTTATATTAAATTCAATTTACAAAAGGTATTGTAAAGCTAATTGTTAAATTAATTTTAATATTTAAAATGATTTATTTGTAAGTTCTCTGAATATCAACAAGAAGTTTAATAGAATCGAGTGTCGAGTCACATTCCTAAGGGCTTATTGTGTTACGCATAAATCTAAGTTTCGTTAATCAGAGTGGGCGCAGCGCTGCGCCGGGTGCCACGTTCATAAATACATACCCGTACATAAATACATACTTATGTAATATCGTGCCACGGCCAAATGACTTCACGCTTCGCCTGCTGTTGAGTTCAAGACTGAGTTCCTTATATGATATGCATCCGATTGCTAATGCATAAAAAAGGTTATTTCTTTGCACATTTTGTGGTTATAAATTACTAGCTGTTCCCTTACGACTTCATCCCATGAAATTATGAATATTTTATTTTTTTGTTTACATGTGTCAAATTATCAATTGCAAATGTCAAAATGACATGACATGACAAACCTTGGCAATCTTACTTTCTTGATGTTGGCAGCAACTTATGGTCTCTTTCCCACATTAGGGTTTTTGTCCAAAATATTTACCCCCTAAGTTTAATGGCGTGAAAGTATATAGCCTAAAGCGTGACGTAAGTGTAGCGCGTAAGTGTAGGGTTTAATATCACCAAGCTGTGTCAACACAACTATGTCAAAGTTTATTTGGTTGAAATAAATAAAAAAGAACTATAAAAGAACTAATCAAGGACTTATAATGAACTTTAGATAAGTTGTGAAAATATAATTTAATATCAATATGTAAATATTTAGCCGTGTGGGATTCATGTAGGAGTAACCTGTTCTAGAATCACTTCTAGTTTTTATTATTCATCAGTGAAAATATTGCTTTGAAAACGAACTATTAAAAAAGCCGTTTCAATACTGTCAAAAAATTTACACGCAAAAACCAACTTTTCCGGTTTTCAAACATTCACCCGGCTGTTTGACTCCTTATTGTTACTACTCTAAATAAACTTGGACCCTCTAATCTGCTTCCCACAGTTTACTCTTTCTTTTCTTTACTTCTATACTTATATCTTCTAACTAGTAAAAATATAATTGATATTTTGCTTCGGTTAAAATTAAATGCTATTTTATTTTTTGCACATTGAGAGAATGTAACAAGTTAACACCGGAGAATTTAACTGCCTCATTTCAAGGGGAAATCGGATTGTTTATTGTCAGTTGCAAATACACCCAAGCGTTCAAGTTAACGTTCCCACAGGATGGAAGCATTTACCGTGACGTTCGGAATTTGCTAAGAAGCGATTGCAAATTTAAATTGAATAATCAACGATATTAAAAGCGTGTTTTATATATCTCAAGGCGACATCTAGTATGTATGGTTAGAACTATGTTCCTTTAAAGTCAAGTTTAAAGTTTTTAGTAAAAAAAATGCGTCGGACTGGTTATTGTTTTTTTTTTATTTTGAAATAACCATCAAGAATTATATTGGACAATTTGGATCGTAACCCAGTATCATTGGATAATACGCCTCGTTTACTGATGACGCTTGTCCATCATAATTTGCACTTCTTGACGGGTTGCGTATGCAATTGATTTTTCGGACCTTAACAAGCTGTAATAGATAATACCCTCAAAAATCTCTTATACTTTTTTTATTATTAAATTAGTTTTAGTCAAATATTGCTTTTACGTATTCGTGTGTAAGTTTTTAATAATGAAGGTTACTGCGTTACTCTATTATATAATAAATTATACTTGAATACAAAGTAGAATATTAGTTTGCTACCGTATTGAAAGTTCCGTATCGATGGAGTCTAAGCCGTCTGATGCACCGGAAGAGCGGTGTCGGCGGCTGGCCGAATTCGGCCCGCAACGGTACCGCGTTGCAAATAACGAACAGCCGTCGCGACACCTTATAACAGGGCCGAACTGCCTTTCTTATTTTGAAAAAACATTTAAGTATTGATGACTAGCTGTTCCTCACGATTTCATCCGCGTGAAATTAGAAAATAATATAATGTGTAGCCTGTTACTTACTGGTGACGTAGATTTTCAATGGTGATTTTTTTTAAATCGTCCAAGTACTTTTTGACTTATTTCAATACATACAAAAATCCAAAAATACAAATCATTCCCTTTTATAATGTTAGAAGATAAATTATCTACGAAAAAAATTGTAGCAATTCCGACTTCATTTGAACAAGAATAATGTATGATAGTATAGACGATAGTTAATTTGATAAAAAAAGATAAAAAACCTAATTGCATAATACACTTTTATTAGAGAGCAGATGCAGTTATCGTCAACTGACACTTGGGTCATATGTTTGGTGACTGACCACCCAATAACGTTATCGCACTATATTAAATCACAACAGAGAACAGCATTAGCCAAAAATAACTTATATTATGTACTTAGGTATTGCTTAATGCAGGAACGTTGGATAACTGCGAATTAAATTTTACTCACAATTTAGCTTTAAAAAAGCTTTACAACTTTTGTTTACGACTAATAGAAATTGCGCCGTCCCTACATTAGCAGAGCTTGCCACTTTTTGCCACATTTCTCTTTTTATTTATATACTAGCTCAATGGTTTTGTGTATTAAATGTTTTATGTAGTTTTTTTGTGGCAATAAAAAATATTTATTAAAATAATGACAAATAAATACGGGGAGAGTATAAGGCTTACTAGTGCGGCCCTGACCGTGCTTATCAACCTAACTAAACGCTTCACCGCACTGTACAATGAAGTATTGAATTACAATAGAAACTAGTACACTTTTTTTATTACCTATTGACTTGTTTCTACGTAAAGTAGACTAATCTATACCAACGTTTTATTATCTGAAACAATAGATTTAAAAAACTACCATAAAATACTTATAGACACTAAGAATCCTTTGTTTTAGAATTAACAATTTGCAAACGAAATAGTTACTTTAAAGTTTTATTACTTTAAATAATTACCTGTCATATAATATTTGTAAAAATTGTCGGATATAGACATTTTCATTGTCTTTTTTGGGATGGACAAGAACAGTAAGAATCTAAGAAATATGTAGATTAGAATTTATTTTAAATAACATGAACAACAAAGTTAAATGAAATATGAATTAGCTACATATTTGTTCTGAAGTAATAATGAATTCTTCGTTTAAATACAAACAAAACGATGGTCTAATAAAATTTGGGTTTCTGCTCAAAATGAAATTTATCGTCGGTCCCCTAATACCTATTTGACCGCGGGGTGACGTCGATAACAAAGATGGCCCCCAGTTCACAGAGTAGGGAATTTAATATTACTATCTTGTCCCGCACCACACCGCTCGCATACTATTGATTTATCTGTTATTCGTGAACATTTCACGCAAACAATATGGCCAAATACAAATAACATGAAAATTAGAAAACACTTTGTTTGTTTCTTCCTCTTTATTTCCTGAGGTCAGCTTGGATTACTTTTTTAGTTACTAACTATATGACATTTGCCTGTACTAAAAGAAGAATAAACTAAAATTCTTTTCTTTTCGATATCAAATTTGTTTCTTTGTATAGTTGTGGACGACCGATTCGTGTTAAGAATGAAAGATACAGCTAGACATTAAACCGCCGTGAAGAGCTTAATAAAGCGTGCGCTCGACGCATCCGAGCCATTAGACAGTCTCCGCACGCAAACCTGAACGCTAACCGTTTAAAAAAGCGCTTTAAATTTTTCTATACCGTATAAAATTGTTAGGGATCATTCCACTCCCCTCATTTATCGTAGGAACGAGAATTAAGATCGTTACCGCTAGCTTAATGTCACTTTCTCTTCGTTGACTTATTGAATTTATACTCATCGCTTATTTTGCTATGACACACGAAATAAAACACAAAGAATTAATAAAAGCGGTAATAAAGAGTAAACGTTTAAGACAAGGCATGGTACAAATATGCTGTAATGCAATAGAATTTTAAGTAAAGATGGCAAACCAAAAAAATGTTAAAGCGATACACACATATTGTTGTGATTTTCATGAAACCACAGTTGTATGATAACACCTTAACATGTAAAGTAATAGTAGTTATGCGATAAAGCTGGAATAGTTGCAGCTCGTTGCGCTTGGCGGGATGTCGTCACGGGGCGATACGACGCGATGCGACACACATGGCGTTCTTCATTGCCAACAATCAAGTTGTAAACAATGTCTGTCAATCTGATATCAGTTACTGACTGCTTGTTAATAATTAAATGTTCGTATCTATGGTTCTGATTTTTTTTAATTGTTAGATTTGATTAAGTCATTTTATATAAACCATACAGGTTTGCATCATTTCTTAGTTTTTTGGCTTAGATCTTTAACTCTTTACTAGCCTAATAATGCGTTTCAAGGGTTCTCTAAATGAGTAACTGTTTTAAAATCGCTATCTAATATACTGCTTTTCCAAAACTGACGTTTATGTTTTATTCATAGGTATTTATGGTGTAATATATCGTGAAATGTGAATAAATAAGATAAACTCATCTCAGGTTTATAAATTTAGTAACACATAAAATGACCGGCCAACGCGTAGCATTACAAGGTAAATAAACAAAAACTCTTTTCCCTGTGTTGATCGTGCGTTACTTACAATTAACACAGGGCTCGGTGGCAACGTGGCCGGACGTCGGTTGTTTACCGAAAACCTACGCGCAGTAGGCGTTGGAATCGTGGTCACTTTTTACATCTAAACATGGTGTCTTCATAAAAACATCTTATCTAAATAACTTTGGTATAAACACAACGGTTGCTAGGCCAGCTGTAAGGACGCGTTTGCTCTTAAGTGGCAATAAAATTGTATCTAATTATAACTATGAGTCTCTTCAAATTATTAACAAGTGGATCTTTATTGTATCAAGCTTAATATTGAAGTAGGCACAGTGGAATTTATAACCTAAACATACACAACTGCTATTTTATGATTAATGAAATAATTAAGGATAATCTATGTTTTTAGTAGGTTACCAATCTCTATAATACTACAAGATAAATAGTATCTCGTAATATTACGATATTCTTGTATTAATATTGTGAAGTCATCTTAGCGTCAAACGAGGAAACTTCCGACAAGGGGCGAAACGTTTCGCATACAAATTGAAGGAATTTCATTATATCTCTGTCGGTCGGAGTCAAAGCCTTTGATAGATTCACTAGAGATTTTTTTCTTTAATATGCTTACGGCCGACCAGATGAAATTAATTGTTCTTTGCATTTTCAAAAAAACATAGTTATACACATCAAAGCATACTTATGCAAACCTATGTCAAACGTTGTTGGTAGTATTCATTGTCTCTACAGGCCCTTCTTTGCTTAAGAGATCGTACTTTCCTTCATTTAAACTAATATACTTATCTTATTAATTTCAGTAGTTTAAAGTATGGGAGCGCCAGCTTGGGGTTCGCGTGGCGGCGACCGGCCGCGGCTACTACGCATGACGCCGCTGCGTCACAGTTTCGCCGCGCCAGCCACGCCGCCCGCGCCGCAGCCACCGCCGCGCACGCACGACTACGCCTCCGATGCTGATACTAATAAGAAAGGTAACTTGCGCATTCGATGCCTTATAAACATTGCTTATTATGTTAGTTGTTATTCTTATAACACATTTATTTAAATTTTCAGAAGAAAGTTGGAATGCGAACCTATCACAGAGATGGCGAAAGCTGCGCCGGCGTTGTTCACGCCTGCGCCCCGGCTCTGGCAACCGCGAGCCGAGCCCCGTGCGCTGCTCCCCCTCTCCGCCGCGCCCGCCGCCGCACTGCTCACCCGCGCCGCCTGCCAAGCTCTCCTTCAGGCATCGCGGCAAGGTCTATACCACAGCGTCCCTTCGCGTCACGAGCGGAGCCCCGGACTTACTGAGAGCTCTAGGCAAACTGGGAGGAGGCCTGCGACGACGAGCGCTCTCGGCCCACGACGTGCTCGCGCCGCCGCAGCAGCAGCCGGCCACATTTTACGTGCCCAGTCCGACGACGGAGCGACAAACCTCCTCGCCGTCTCCGCCCAGGCAATCGGCGACACTCCGTCGACGATGCAGCTCTCCTAACGTGTACCGAGCTAATAAGGACGCGCCTCGCGATCGAGCTCCCCTTATTCACGACGATGAAAATCGAGACGTGGTCGATTACAGTTACGGTATGGACCGCAGGAGGAGCTGCAAAGACGTTCGGAGTCGACCGTACAGCGAGAACGTGGACTTAGATGTTCCATGTCGGAACGGCTATAATCGTCTGACGGCGAACATGGCTGACAGACTGTGGGAGGAGCCGTACAGGTTGCCGCGGGTGCAGGCTCGGCAGGAGCCGATGCAGCAACTGCGCAGCGGTGTGGCTGAGTTGCGGGTGAGCGCCGCGCCACGCACCCCTCGCACTTCCCGCCCGCCTCCTGCGCCTCCAGCTGCAGCACAAAAGCCCAGCAAACGGCCGCCAGCACCTGAACCAAGGGACACGCACACGTTTGAGGTATTTTTATAACAGCATTTTTAAAATGTTTTGTTTAATTACCGTTTACACATATTTAAAAGTATTCTTTATAATTTCCAGGTGCGATTCACCAAATCGGCTGGCGGAAAAGGTTTAGGGTTTAGCATAGTGGGGGGTCGGGACTCGCCGCGCGGTGACATGGGTATTTTCGTCAAGACAATATTCAACAACGGACAGGCGGCTGAATCTGGTCTACTCCGCGAAGGTACGCAAATCTAATTATTTGTAAACTTTACAACAATGTAATATTAAAGTTACGAATAAAATTACAAAGGTACGAAGGATCTAAGACCGGATATTAATGTTTTATTTTAAGGTATTCGTTAACTAGCGTCGAAATATTACCCTGTGAAGGTGAACATTCCTCAGTGACGGTTTGACGGCAGCTGCATAGTTTACTGCAACTGCATCTAACGACTTTCGCCCACCTGCCCTCGCGCCCTCACAACTTTGTTTTTTATTACTTAGCTTCAAAATTACTCTTTTTCAATGAAATACTATTTTCCTTTGCTACTAAAGTGTACATAATCTAGACGACTCTGTGGATGTATTAGGCGTTTAACATTTACGACACTTTTCTTTTTACATTCTTAAAAGGCTTTTACGTATAAGTACATCGACTTAGTATTTTATTGGTCCTTAAGGGAAAAAAGACTATTCTACCGGTTCTACAAGTTCATGTTGCATCTAATCTTAATAAATTATAATAATTTGTTGGTAAACGCATAACAAGAACGGTTAGCTCTATTTTACCACTTTTCATAATTTTTCTCTTAAATGGTCTAATAAGGTTAAAAATATTATTTTTCTTTTTGCAGGAGACGAAATACTGTCAGTGAATGGGCGTGGGACGGCTGGCCTGACGCACGGTGAAGCTATAAGATTATTCAAGGATGTTCGAGCAGGGCCCGTGCTGATCAGGGTGACACGGAGAGCGCCTGTTCGCTGACTGCCCTGCGCCTGCTGTGGCGACACCTCGCCGCTCCAGGCGCCAGAACCTTCAAATTATTCTACTCTGTAACTCTCCGATAGATGTCGCTAACCAACTATGACAAAGCTATTCGTAGTTTCAACAATGAATCGGTAGATGGCGTTTTTAATATATGGACGAAGAAAATAATTAAAGTTTCTTCAACTTTGTTAACTTTAACTTAAAGTCAACTTTAACTTTGTCAGATTGGTTAATATGGTTTATTTGAAACTATTATAATGTAACATATTAATTCATACCGGTAATGGCAAGCTGTTTTTAGACTTACAATTTCCTGACAAACATTAATAGTACTTTGTAAGCAGTTTGTATGGAAAGTTTATTTTTATTTCATTTAAATTTTAGTTCTTTACAAATTGGAACAAATACAAGTACAGATTATTTAATTTTAAACCATTGCACAATAAATAGTACATCAAGTAGTTAAAGTACAATAAGGTCATATCAGCGTTTATAAAAGGAGGTAAGGACTCCATCTTTAAAATTATAATTTGTAAAATGTCACAAGTTATTACCAAAGACAAGAAATTAATATCTTTTCAAATGAATATTACGTTATATTCTATAACTTTGTATTTCATTCGGATTTATGTGATACAGAGCGTGTAAAGTTTAGATTTTTTTAATGGGTGGCTCTATGTCGCCCTCTGATTCCTTAAAAAAAAAATAGTCAAGGACTATGTCAGCTACTTATTAAGCTGGGGCGTACCATCTTTCGACTGCATCAACGCTTTCTACAGGTGGGATCACGATCCCTTGATCACTTGACCGTGGTCAAGCGCTAGTAACAAATATAAAAAAAAACTTGGTGATAGATTAGATATGTTTCTGAGGAATAAATGTGAATTATTATATATACCTGTTTGATGTCACATCGCTGTTTTAAAACGTAAAAGTAGGCTTTCACTGTACTAAACCTATTGTGATTTTTTAAGCAGATAACAATAGTGATGTCATTTTTTTGTTTACAAGTGTTCTATAGGACGTGTTTCATTTGTTACAGTAATGTAAAGATTATACTGCTATGGGTTGAATATAATATAACAATAATTTGTAAGAATATAATTTATAAAGATATGCAGATACATAATTATGGATTTAAACAGATAGTCTTGTTATCTCTTAAACATAATATTCGTAGAGTGATAAGACTATATAAGTATGTAAAAATGATATCTTTTATTATAAGTATGTAAGATTATTGTGCCTACAATGCAGCTTCCCAAAGCACACAAACACGACACAATTTGGATAAAATTGTCTGTGATAAATGAATTCAAAGTTGATTTGAATATAACGAGCCTAGTTTATAATATTAATTTATTTTTATACGTAAATGTAGAATAATTTAGTTTTGTTAATATATGTATTTTGTATTAAATTTTATATTTATATTGTTAACTAACATATAAAGTAACGTCGTGAAATGCTTTACTTTTGGATAGTTTTATAAAAGCAATGTAAAATAAGGTACATATATTTATAATAATTTACGCAATGTAATTAGAATTATGTGCTTCAAACTAATCTACCAAATAAAGTTTTACAATTTTAACGTTTTTTTTTATTTGAAGACTAATTCGTATCTATCTTTATTCAAGACTAGCTGTTGCTTGCGATTTCGTCCTCATGGTAAAAAGCCTACTACTCATTGATAGCTTAGCTTTTTACCAGTGAAAGAATTTTTAAAAATCTGATCAGTCGTTTTTGAGATATCTCAATACGTACAAAACACAAATCTTTCCTCTCTATAACATTAGTATTCACCTAAAATTGCATTTTGTTTATATATATAGGTGGAAAGTGAAAATTTCGTTTTAATAAACATTTTCATCACGTAAAAAAGAAACTGTTTTTTTTTTATTAAATCAACAGTCTGATTACATTATGCGTTAGTTTCTTGCTTATTTAAAACTTTTGAAACAATTTTCTGAACAACTACTCAGAAGAACTCTTAGGTCGTCAAATGAAAACTTTTGCAGAGCGCGAAAGTTTTAATTTAATAACCTAAAAGTTCTGATTGCAATACATTCATTTTGCTTGCTTTGAAGCTGCAGCCAAGTTCTTCTCAAAGATGACATTGATAGTTATTACTTACTAGCTTTCGATCGCGACTCCGTTCGCGTGGATTTGAAAAAAACAAAAGTGAATAATCTATGTGTTCTTCCAGTCTATCCTCTATATCTATACCAAATTTCATCGAAATCCGTTCTGCTGTTTAGGCTACAAACTGTAACAAACATCCATCTAAACTTTATAATATTATATTATATTATAAATATATGACTACATTAATTGAGTCCCTTTCTCTTTACCACCCTTTTCTTATAAGGAGAGGTTGGGAAGAGAAAGTGGATTTGACGGTGGGGGAGATGCATAGGAAGGGGAAATATCCTCTTTATGAGCGTCTCCTCCTCCGTCGTATAAGGGTAGGCAACGTATCTGCAATTACGGATGTCTATGGTCAGCGGTCGCTTCGCCATTTTGGCGGTTTCAGGTGGCCGCTTGCTCCTTTGCCACCTTATGTTATAAAAAAAAAATCTATAACAAAAATTGATGCTAAATTATTTTTGGAATAACAAGTATGCTTTATTCAATAAAAAATATGAATATTCCATTCCATTATCAACGTGTTATGGACGATATAAAAATACGTTTTTGCAGGTTTTTCTTTTAAACTATTCGCAGTTGTCACTTTCAATTCTGCGTATACAATCATTATTTTATTTTTAAATAAGACATACAAAAAAAATATAGCCCGAGGCTTTAATAAAAAGACCTTAACATCAACACCAATTATTTTCATTTTAAAATATCGGTACGAATCTCGTTTATTACCATAATTTTAATTTTCTTTACTGCTTTCAATATTTAGCACAACAACCTTGTTCATTGTCGCTATATTCGTCAGTGTTTACTGCATACGAACACCGTTAGTTGGGTCCATATTACTAATTTTGCTAAATATAGAAACTACACTTACAAGTGTTTAAAAATACAGTATTCGTTAACTGTACTCCATCGAAAAACAATCTTTCACTTATATTTATGTTTTATTAACATACTAACTTTCGCCGACGACTACGCGTGTAATTAAAAAAACAAAAGTATGCCTGTGTTCTCCCAGATTATCAACTACATCTGTGCCAAATTTCATCGAGATCCGTTCAGCCGTTAAGGTTACAAACTCTAACAAACATCCATCTATCCATCTATACTTACGGATTCTTGACAATAGTAAGATTTCATTAACGAGATTTTGTTTTTAGAATTAGAACGTTACAGTCAAGGTTCAAAACTAGGTAATTTCGTTTGTTCTCGTACACTGACATTTGCCATGAGACCGTAAGTGAGGTTTTCATCAGTTTTTTTACATCTCATCAAACTAAAATAAAAGTCGACTTTTCACAGATAACTCTTATAAATATTGGAAGTTTAAAGTGAATGGTGCAGTAAGTTCTGCAGAGAAACTGCATTTCATCTGCATCAAACTTCATTGCAATTTGCAACATCACGACTTTAAATTATTTGTACAAACTGTATACTTCGTTAGTTTACTTTGGGAATTATATGTAGAGTTCTTTTGTTTTTTGCAGGAATGACTATCGTAAGCTTGTTTATTAATTTTAAAACAGTTTGGTCATTAATTTAAAACTTTATAGCCGTATAATAAAATAAAAAAAAAAAATGTATCATGTTTATTAACGTTACAAGAATATAATTTCATCAATATAAATATAGGTTTTTATATTTCTCAAGTAATACAAAATAAGTACTAAATAGGTATTGTTGATTCAGATATTGTAACAATAAAAAATGATCATAAAAACTATATACAATTATTTGTAAAGCAATTCTACAATCTAAGTTAGTGGTAAGATACGGCTTGGATACATGGATATTAATGGCAAGGGAACTGAAGCAAGATAATCCTCGGATGTTTACTAAATTAATTGGTTAAGCAATATCATTTTACAGTTATATGCTTACAAACATTAACAGGGTTACAAAGCACGTAAGTTACTTAATATAATTGAGATTTTTATCGTTGTAGTACCAAATGAAATAATATTTCGTAAATGATCTAAAAATGTTAGTATATATTTCTAGACATTTATTTCAAGATGGCACTCAACAATAGATCGACATCGTCTCCTTTACTCCATAACTATATTTAAGTACAATGCCTAGAATTAAGAAATGTTTAACATCACAAAATGTCATTGTACAGACTAGTTTTAAATTAATCGAATTAATAAATAAACAATTTAACAAAAATGGAATACAGTCTTAAAAAGGTCTTACGTAAGAAAATACATTTGTATCGTGTTAGGATAATATTGTAAGTAAATAAGAATTATTTTTATATACAAAAATCTAAACAATACTGACTAATGCATGTAACAAGTTATTTACTCGTCGTTGCTTTCAATATCAAAATTATTATGTCTTATCTTAAATCTATTTTGTTTTATAATTTTTATTGTTTTTTTGTAGAAAAAGTGATTACAGTAGTACTATGCCTAAACATCAAAATACTGCCTCTTCAAGCATCACATTCATTCGCCTTGGGCAACCGATCCAATCAATCTGCATTCAGAAAAAACTCCGTAGATAATTCAACTTATCTTGGTGCGTGCAGATTTTGATCCTTTTACATATACAAGAACACACTCTGAACGCCAAGGTAAGATGAACTATACATACCTATAACACATCTAACCAGCTTTTGTTTTATATTTAGATTAGGCTTTAGTACCCTTAGGGTTTCTTAGTACCAAGGCAACAGGACCGGCGGGCAATGATTTCAAAGCTGCCCAAGCTTGGGTTCGTGTGAATGTCTCCATAGACTGCCCTCCAGCAGAGAGTAGTTCTGCACCGACTAGAATACGACCACTTTGAGCAGCTGCTCCACCTGGAAAATGCAAACGAAAATTTTGTAACATTAAAAACAATGTCATCTGCTATAAAGGCTGTCTTCTAAATAAATTCACGATATTTCGAAGCTAATAGAATGGAAACTTGTTTTTCACAGTTACTCCAAGTATGAATAAGCATCATAAAGTACCTGCAAATAGTTTTTTGATGGTCAAAGGCCGGTCACCGTGTGGCGAATCCCGACCGCCGTCCAATCCGAAACCGAGTCCTGTCCCACCGCCGGCCTTCTCTACAATTACAGTTACTACATCACTGGGACTGTTATCTTCTTTGATCGATACTTCGACTCTCTTCTGACGATCCTTCGACTCCGCTGTTAAGATAAAAATATTTTGTTAAACTTCACTTGTACTGTTTTTTTTAATTTCATTATTACTGTTATCAGATTTCCTGCTGTACCTTTTTCAGAGCCGCAACCCGTTACACTGTCGTTCGCTGCATTTTCATTTTCTATTTCAATAACTACTTCTGAACGTTGTTCCTGTGAACAAAATGGAAAGTTAGGCACACATTCCAAGAATGTTTACTAGCTTGCATATTATTTCGACAGTAATATTAATAATTTAACTTTATAAAATACCTTAAGAATTGTGACTGACTGCGCGTGTGTGAGACCCATCATAGTACAGCCATTGATGGCTTTAATTTTTGCTCCTCTCTTCAGACCTGCTTTTGCTGCTACACTATCAGATAGAACTCGATGGACCTGTAAAATGTAAAGTTAACTATTAACATTAGTTACAAAAAAAAAATACGAGTCACTATCCATTAATAAGAATGAAAATGAGGTTTACTCTCTTTTGTAATACTAACCGTAACGTCCTTCGCTTCACAGTCTGTGCCTCCAGCCAGTATGACTCCAACGCCTGAACCAACAGCTTTCTTCAGTCTGATTATAGATGTCGAAGTCTTGGGCTGGTCACTATATTTGCTGTCAAATTTATTGTTACTTACTTCCTTTTTGTTGTTAACAATTTTATCGGACTTTTCATAGGACAACATAGGCTTTACATTATCGACAACGTCAATATTGTTAACAATACTTTTCTTTGATGTTAGGGTTTCAATCTCTTTCCTTTTTTGAATATCATTGTTTCTTTGCACTGATTGAGTATGTGTGGCTAAATTGTTTGATTTATTTTCACCATAGTGTTCTGACGTCGTCTTTGTAGATTCCTGGATAATTTTTTCTTTGATAAGTTTCGATCCCTCCTCAATCTTTGAAGGTTCATAGCTGTTTTCGTTTTGTTTACTCTTGTTAGAAATACTTGAGTTTCGTTTCAATCTTGAAGCTTTGTACTCAGTTTTCCTGTTTCTGGCATGAGTATCGTCATCGGTGTCAGAATCGGATTCTGCGATTACCTTGTTACGTCGTCTGGTCTCGCCTTTATTCGTTATAGCACTCACTGAAGATGTGAGTGTAGAAAGACGTTCAGACGTTTTCAGTGTAGGACTAGGAGATCTGTTGTAAGACTCATGGGAGAATTTTGTTTCAACAACGGGTGATTTTAGATTTATATCTCGTCCGCTCCTGCATTTTGCTGAAGCTAAGATGTTTCTTCTATTTATAGTATCTACGTTGTAGACTTTCGAAACTTTTCTCTTGTCTGAGTCAGCAACAGAACTCTCAAGCGAACTGCAGCTCGCTTGTGATCCAGAAGTGGCAGCAGATCCTGCCGAAGAACTGAGAGATATATTGGTATCTGAAGATACAGAACGGCAAACTTTGCGTTTGATAAATTCCTCACAACTCTTCTCTGTATTTGAAGATTTAGAAGGAATTTCTGACTTGACCAGGGAATAAGATGTGTATTGTGAAATTCTCGGGGAAAGGCGAGAGCTATCCGATTCTATAGCGTCAATGTGATGCATAGGTGAGGACGCTGACGAACGATAACTTGACTGGGCTGAACTCAATGCAGACTCATTGTCACTGTCAACTATTTCAGTTGTAGTACATATTTTGATTTCGACATTCTTGTAATCACGAATGTCACCTAAAGATTTTTTGTAGTCTTTGATAGGTGATTGCAAAAGGCTTCCTGATTCCAATGTACTTCTCAAGGTTTTTGCAAGGCTTGGCTTATTATATGTCTTATTTTGAACGTCTATTCTCTCTAATAATTTTCTTTCCGGTGTAGATTCCTTCGAAAGTGACGAGGGACTGTATACTTGCAAGGATTTTCTTTTGAAAGCAGGTGAGTATTTAGGTATGTTATTTGGCAAGAAATTAGTATTCCATTTGTTTTCGTTTACACTTAATGATCTTGTCATTGTCAAATTATCTTTTTTATACGTGTCGTTTTGATTATATTTTAAAATGAATGGTTTAGAGATGGAATCTTTCACTTTTATTTCAGGTAGGTCAACGATCGGCGAGTGAACTTCTGGGATTACAAGGCCACGAAGCTTCGATAACGATTTTTTTCTTTGCTCTATAATATGTTCTAACTTATGAGCGCTTACATTTTTGTTGCTAGTATCATCACTTACGCTTCTACTGTGGTATACACTTCGACTGAAAGACGCATCAACAGAGGACGGTAGAGTCGTTGTACTTCCGTAGAACAAAGGCATTTTTGTAAGCTCGGAATGTGAGAATCGGCTATTTTTAACTTCCTTATTACTTATTTCGAGTGCTCCAAGCACTTCTGGCCGATCTGTATGTCTCTTATAAGATCGGGGGGTATCATCCAAATTATCTGTAGACTTCGTCAAACGTCTGTCTAATGTAGACACTTCAGAAAAACTGTTTGAGTAAGACGGTGTATTGTTTCTTAATGTTGACTTAGTTCTAACTGGCAGTGTTCCACACTTATCCAGGCGATCAGTTGAAGTTGCGAGGTCATTAGAGAACATGGCAATTTTATCCTTAACGCTAGCTTCGCTTCTGGCATCTTGAGTTCTTGATAAATAAGATAATCTTGGACGCGTCGTTCCAGCATATAAGGCTGGTGGAAGTCGAGGGGGTAGCCTCGTTGGTAAATCCGGAGCCTTGTCTACCACATCAGAGGGAGTCTCCACCCCGTCAGGAGGTTGTCGGGGACAAGTAGGAAGAGGTGTTTCATCGTTTGAAAGGCTTTTATCTTCTGCGTCACTCTTGTGGATGCGATCTGCAAGAGAAAATTACAGTTGTAAATAAAAACCAAACATTTATAACTACTAAGGAAAAAAAAAATTTTATTACAGCCGCTGAATGAAATTATATTTTAAATCCAAAGCAAATAACTTTTTCAAGGTCACAACCAATTTTACCATTATTTCTCATGCTAACAAATAAATCACCGATTCAAATTAAATTTGATAGTATGGCGTATTGAATCACTTCCTACTTCCTGCAAAGTTCACGGCAACAGTTAAAAGAGGGAATAATTATCACTTTATCAGTATCTGTTCAGGTTATAATTAAATTACAAGACGTATAACGATGATTTGAATCTATGACTTGCACGCTCGGACTAACAGAGGTATTCGAATTCATTTCACTAGACACAATGTTTGCGCAACTAATATTGACGATATAAAACGCACTACAACATAAATCACTAGTTTCCTATTACAGTTGACCAAGTTATTAGCCAACGTGATGCGTCACCTATTTTATCACACTTTATTAGTCACAAAGTTTAATTTAAGGATTTCATTCACTACAAAGATAATAAACCCTCCTTGTAAAACATGTTAAACGTGTTCCTCACGATTCTACCATGGTTAATTAGCAAGAATTAATCGAGCCAAATATCTAAGTATTCGCTTCGAATGATATGTTGAAATAATCATCATGAAATTTATATTATTAAAACCTTGCAAAATGCGATATTCACAATAGCTATTTACATTAAGTTTTACCTTCTTTTTCTTCTTCTATTGGATGTAAAAAATGTGTATGACGCACTTTAACAATACTATATGTTTTCGTATACAGTACTATTATTCTTTTAGTGTACATTTTATAAATAAAATAAATGTAAATACTACTATTCGGCGCGTCTATGCTCTTCCTTTTAATACATATTTCTGTAGAATTCATACAAAAATATCAGTTCCGAAGCATACGGCACACTTCAGTGTATTTGAACAGCTGTCGGATACTGAAATTCTACATTGTTCCTATTATTTTAAAATAATTCAGCAAAACCGATCTCAAAGTATACAGTTGCTAAATTGAAGCGAGGGCATTGAATTAATTTATTCAGTTGTATAATAATTATGACGAAATAATACTCCGCTTACATACATTTATTTATAACTAGCTGTTGCTTTGCCTCGCAAGAGATAAATTCAAATTTGGAGAACTGATCGCCAACCTTGGCTAGTCGGAGAGGTACCTTAAGAAGAAGAAACTGTTGCTTGTTATTTAAAATTAAAAATCAATACTTTATGGTATATCCTATGTTACTCACAGATAACGTAGCTTTTTAATGGTGAAAGATTTATTTTTAATCGGCCCCATAATTTAGTTATTTAATACATAAAAAGTGCAAATCTTTCCTCTTTATAATATTAGTATTGAAGTGTTAATGTTTATAACAATATAGTTGAACTAACAAGAAGCCTCTGGGAATACTCAAGGTAAGTACACTGTTAAAAAAGCTCAGGTTGAGCGCACTTGACGCTTCGCCAACTTAAAAACACCGTGAAACTATGGCTGTCTTTAAAGCAAGCAGTTAACGCAAATAAATGTAATTAGCGTAGTCATAAATAACACTTTGTTATATTGAGCTCTATTTTAGTGAGATGTAAACATAAAGGTGCGGTTTCAAGTCAGGTTTGAGTAAACGAAAAATGTTTATTTGTGTTTTGTTTGTGATACATTCGTCAAAAAAAATTATAGGTATAAAACTATGACTGAAAAATACATGCCTATCGTATTTCTAATTTCCTCTCTCCGAATGTCGATATAACTCCTTTTAATATTTATTTACGACGTAACATAAAACAAATTTGATACGAAAAGCGTAGTTTTTTAAATGAAAACTTTCTACTGTTAATATTTTAATTATTGAAATACAGTATTTGTTTAGATTTACGAGCCTTGTTATCTATATTTTCTTGATATTCCTCGATTTGACCGGTAATAAATATAGTTTTGAAAATGCTACATATGTTCATCATCAATTTTTTTAATTAGCTTGTTGCATATTTTTATTTTAAACGTGGTCATCGCAGACTTTCTTATTAGACTGTGTAGTTATGGCATAATTTTTGTATAAATTCCTTATTTCACATACGAACCGTGGAGCGACATAGAGCGTCTGGGCAACTTCCGTGTGTCCAACATTGTGGAAGCTTCTCAGGCGATAGATCCCAACTTAATCGTCATTTGCACTAATTCATAACACAACACTTTCATTTATAAAACTCGTTTTCGGTTCCTGTTCATTCATAAAGCATTTACTTTCATCACGTCTTCGGGAAAAATGTACAAAAACAATGATACGAGCGCACCGTGAGAACAAAAGTTGATTCGTTTTATTTATTTGGCGCCAGTGTGATGTCACAGAGAGCGAAGCGAGTGAATCGAGTCGCGGAATCGCAAAGTTTCGATTAACGACTGAAATAACTGTTATTTAACATGGGGTAGGTGGTGCGCGCGCGCACAATGACGGCGGAGCGGCGACGCGAGCGCGGGACCGCCGCGGCGGGGCTCGGTGCACTGAGTCGCCGCCGCGCCGCCGCCGCCGCCGCCGACTTGCAGAATTTTGCAGCGTCGCCGCCCTTGACGGGGGCGTTGCTCTCGCCAGGGACGGACCGCGCTGCGCACGCGACTCTCTCCCCTCGCGTCCCTCGAATCCCTCGCCTGCCTTGCATCCCTCGCCCCACTTCGGACTTTGTCCTCGGCAAAGACCTGAACTTTACGGCCTTTACATTTTCTTATAAGTTATCATTATGTACGACCGTTAAGCTGTAAGCACGACATGAGGGCAGTTGACTGTAACCGATCATGAATTGTGTACCAACACACATTTAGTATGATAGATGTACATAATTTCAAATTGACATGTGTTTTTTTTTTTCACTTGGAATATGGTACACATTCAGATATTTAATGTCACAATTTTTAAATATGTTATGTTACAAATACGAATTACATAATTTTATTAATTTGTTTCCATTAATGGATTCCATAAGTATTGCAGAAAAAGACGTAAATGTCAAGCTCCGAACAGGTTATCTCATAAATAAAAGGTTGAAGCTTTTAAAAGCTTCTTTCTTTATGTTAAGTAAGACTCCTAAACGGTTTTATTTATTTAGGTTTGTAATTACCGTAAAACATTAATGTTATTTGTATCGTAATAATATTTAATGGGAAATTAAAAGATCAGCACAAGTTTTTAAGTTCCGTTAAAATGGTTGTAAAATTATTTAAATACTGTACCGATATAAAAATATGTATACTCGTATTTTTTCTATATGAATATTGTTTTATTTCCCTAAAAAAGCATAACCGCATTAGAATTTTGTAACTAACTATTTTAAATTAGTCTTTGTTTTGCTTAGCTTTCAATTTAAATTGTTATCAAACTGTTCGTGATTTTAGGGTTATTTGATAGAAATAGTACATAATATTTGGAACAGTTTTTGATGCAACTTATTTTATAACAATTATCAAGGTGTCAAAAGAACTAAGAACGTTTAATAGGACCAGCAGTAGTGTATTGACGATTAACGTAATCAATAAGCCCTAAGTGTTAAAATGTCCAGTTTGGCCAGTGTCCGTGTATGTCAGGGCCGAGCCTACGCCCTTTGCTTCGCTCTACTTCCGCTACCACATTCTCATAATCACTGAAGCGGAATTAGTGAATGCAACTCCTATGTAACTCGTATCAACTTCAAGGGCATTGATACCTGTTGAATAGTATACGTTAATGTTATTAGAATAAATCCAAAATCACTGTTTAAGTTTTATTGACAGTTATGTTTAATAGTTAATTGATATTAGGCTCTAATGGACACTTCGGTTTGGTTAAACCATCTATACTTTTACAAATGGAATTTAAAAAATTAGGCATTCAAAATTATCGAAACCAAACCGGAGCCTGTCATCCAAAATCTAATTTCGATGTCTCTAAAGGTCTTGGCTCCAGAGAGGCTTTTTTGTTTTAGTATATACCAACAAGGTTATAGAAGGGTATATCGTAAAAATAGTGCAGTGGTATTTACAAAAAGATATCTTAAAGTAAAGCAAGGCTACACGGATCTCTGGCGCGCTTTCTTTCGCATCGGAGGTATGAGAAAAACTAGCTGCGAGGAATGCACCGGGTGACGTCGTGGCCGCGGAGGCTGGAATGCGCCCGAGCCTCCGCGCCCGCCCCGACCCGCAACGCGCCCCGCACCTCGCACCCCGCGCAATCCGGACGCTACCTTCAAACCGCACCGACGTGTTTGCGGACTTGTTTGCACATTTTTTTTACATTCCCTACCTTTTATTAAACACTTTTATATGTTCAATTTATGATTCTAGTCTAGCTGGGAGCTTAAAGTTAATCCCGACGGACGGGCGACTTGCTCTCGCCAGGTTTATACTGGCGGAGGATTACCGCTTACCGTCTATTTTTATGGGTCGAGTTTCAATTTGTTATTTGTTAAAATTTATGTTTCTATTTATATGATGTTATTTGACTTGATTGATAAATGTATTAAAGAATAAATCATATTGGAAGATTTAATGTTATAAATATTGATAGACTACATAAAATAAATTTTTCATCATATGAGAATGATTTGGAAGCTATACGTAGGCTTATTTTAATAAGCTGACCAACAATCTCTTCTTAAGTCACACCAATAACGTAGCTATGAAACGGATAACTGAAAGAAAGTGCAATCGATTTCACTTTCAAAACTAAATTAACTTTCTCCAGCGACACGTCTTACGTAATTACAATATGAAGCATTCAAAACAGCCGCATTTATATCGTCCTTAGTAAAGGTCAAAATCATTGTACTTCAATACGTCAAACTTGGACATTGTCTGAGTCTCGAAGAGAGGGGAGAATGTTTTTTTTTACATTAAAAACTCGATTTATCTGAAAGGTTGTACTTGATCAAGGTTTACGTAAGATCTGCACGTCCGCGTGCAAACATTTAGACACTTTTTGTTTGGAAGGCATCGCATATGGTGAATGGCGGAGGTACAACATACGTATAACATTACATCAAACAAACTGCTCCAGCGGCATGCGGGCGGACTGAAGCCGGACGCCCTGGAATTCACCAAACCATATTATGCCGAACATCACAAACTCCTTTGTTTCAGTTCCGTTGAAATTTCAACCTTAAGATTTAAGCCATTAGATGAAAATTAGCAAAACACTCCCGATGTCCAGATTTAAAGCGCTTTTTGTTAGGACTTCAAGGAAATACCACGACTTCAATTTCAAACAGTAGCCGGATAAGTGGCTTTAGCACATCGAAATGCTCGGCTCTCTTGTGTTCTCGTCCCACTTGAATTACAGATTTTGTCCGGCTGGAAATGCTTTTGCGAATATGATATTAAATTAATATTTTTGTTTCGTTCAATTGCAAATTTAAAACAATATTAGCATCTTCCTCGACCTGTTATTACGCATATGCGAATGCGTATTGAGTCATTCTTAAGTTAATTGATTCATGATTAAGTTATAAAATAATCTTTTATAACAATCTTACTATTATAAATGCGAGAGTTTAAACGAATGGATGGATGCTTATTAGAGTTTGGTCAATTCTAATGCTTTTGTCCAATATTTCTAAGTTATAACAGGTGGTGTGGTCATCGCCATTTTAGAGGTCAAGCCAACCATATGCCGTTGTTATTTTTATTTTTGCATTCCATTTTAGTTGTGTAAATGAATGATGTAACAAATAGAATAACTGACATATGATAAGCAAAGTAAAGAAAAATTCATATACTTCACATTTGTGACTAACTTTTCCCGATAATCAAATTATAGTTTTAATACAATAAGCTCAAACGATGCATTTACGAAAAAAATTATGTATTGCAAAAAGGAACACGATGGACTCCTATATAATCATTACTAATAATGTTTATCTCAGCATGTACTTTAATAAGTGTAACAGTATATTACAAACTTTAATATTAGCATACGTTCAATATAAATGCACTAGTTCAGATTCAAAGCCGCATTACATTTGCAATGAACAGGTGTGACGGCGGCGGCGGCGAGGCGAGCAGGCGCGGGGCTGCGCAGACGCAAGGTGCACTTTCACGAATCCAAGCCAACAAGGATTCATAAACTTATGTAGTTATACGAGCTCCGGTGGAATGCAATAAAAATAAAGTTTCTCTAACAAAACCACGTAACCTATCGACAAATTTACATACCTCTGCATAATTTTGCAATTCTTTAATCGACATTCAAAACAAGTTCTTGATGCATATAAATGGTGTAGAGCTGTCTCTTTAGTACTGATGTGCTCTATATTATTACGATCGGCATAAAATGCCAATAAATTATTTAGAATGAGGACTCCAACACGGCGATTTGTCTTAGAATGTCGATAGTCTTACTATCTTTTAAAACTTTGTATAATTTTTTAATTGGATTTACAAGTTCATTGACACAATTTATTTCTGCATAAAGGCTATAATAATTGAAATTGTATTTCGTATCGCTTTGTATGAATGGACAGAAGATATTTAAACTGGTGGTAAGCGTTTGTCGAAACTGTGGTCAATGATTCATCGTTTGGGCCATCGAAAGAATGTCATTGATACCTTCCGACCAGGTTTCCATCCGGAGATTCCGAAATTGGAAGAAGATAATAACTGTGCAGTTATAACGGCTTTATTTTTGTCTTGATCAAGAAAGAAATTTCGGCCTTAACGCTTTTAAAAATAGAATTGTCAGCAACACATTCTTTAGGTTACGTGACTCGTTACTGTGCTTTTTAAGTAAGCCAGAATCCTTTTAGTGTTCAGTAGAATATGAAGATATTCGTATTAGCATTTATCTAAGTAGAGCATTTTCACTAAGCGTATATTTTGTGATATAAAAGATTTAGTACATTAATAACTTATATCTTTTAGTTAGTGAGATATATGATATACAGAGATTAGTATAATATCTATTTCAGTGTAAGTTACCATAAAAATAAATAACAACAGTATATCAAAAGCATAACTGTACCTTCCCAAAAGTTTCTTTCAAACGAAGATTTTCGAGTTTTCGTTTCATCTTTCTTTACGCTTTTCCTGAAACAAAAAAAAAGACAATTAGCTTTCACTAATTTAAAAACCAATAATAAACACAAATGAGAAACTCTTTGATATTTGTGTGAAAAAAGTAAATAAAAAACTAAAGCTGATAACTGCAACAGATAATATACACCTGCCCATATAAAATGGCAACGTAAACTCAACAAATAATAGCGACAGGTAACAGTTGATAACGCTCAGGAAGTAAACAGCGATGTCTTCACGGCCACCGGAAATAGGGAAGTGCTAGTAAAGTCACAAATGGCGCTCGACACGCCCTCTAATCGGACAGGTGGCTTAAATAACAAACTTTTGTTTACTTTTATTTGAATATTATGTAACTTGTACTCGTATAAAGTTAACTTATTCACTTATTCGTATCAGTATAGCTAGTGTAAACCATACCAATACTTTAGGTTCAACTTTTCTGTTAACTGAATCTTCATTTACACTTACACATTTACATTGACAGATTAAAATAATTGAGGAATTATTATGATTTCATATCATTCTGTACATAGGAATACAAAAGGTTTATTGTCCATATTACATTTATATTATTGTCTCTATTTACTTCTCTTATCTTATTTGAGATGTAGAAGGCGTTGAACTCAAATGTCAGGCGACGTGTAAGTAAAGACTGAAATCGTAAAGTGAGTCACGTTTTCAACACCATTTCAGTAAGGCAAGTCAACTATAATTGGACAAACAATAACCTGCTATGTAACATGCGGTCATTTTATTTAACATCATGTTGTAGATATTACCTACTATTCAACATACTTATTTAAAACTTGTCTCAAATATATACAGGACTTATAAAATTAGAGACATTTATGATGTTGAAAATATATTCATAGTTGTCGATCGCCGTTATAACAAACAAATCGAATCTCAAATATCCCTAGAGAGAACAAACACGGTCTGACCATACAAAGTTTCGTTGCGATGCGGGAATCGAACCGACGACCCGGATACTTCGAGCGCTGGACAATTTGGGTCGTCGAATGTTTGCAATGCTCGCTCAAAGTCCGCGGCCGCCGTGGAGAATTGTACACGAGATCGTTGAACTAGCTAACTGCCTAACATCTATTGCTACACAAGAGTTTACAATTTTTCCGTGAAGTCATCGAAATTGATAGTAACCTACATACGCATATTGCAAATAACTACTACGAAACATTTGGCCGGTAATCGATTTAACACATTCAATGATCGAAATAATCGTGCATGCATTCGAATATAAACATAATTCGTGCAATACATTTTTTCACGAAACTTATTTATACATATTTATTGTAGGATAACATTATATTAAGTTAATCCGCAATTAAATTATGATAGCCTGGTGGATACAACTTTGAGTGACATCGTTTAGGCTCACATGGTATTACATTTGTCAAACTAAAAAATGTTGTCATTTTGGTTACCTGAACTGTTATTTATTGATATCTTTGAGATATTATTAAACAACTTTCTAAACAAATCATCAAACGTGCGTTTAGTTAGATTTATAGTTGCACCGTCAATAAATAAATGGAATTCGTAACTGTAAACCAAATCGTATCCATTTAAAGTAACTTCAACCTTTATTTGATTTCTCGGTCATGCGAGAACCTAGATCTGACCGGCGAATCAAAATGAACGTCGTATCAGGCCGTTTGTTGAGAAATGCCAAAGAGGAATTCAAATAGTTTATCTACTCGATATCTCTTCAGCAATTGCAACGTCCATAAAGTTGCTTAATTGATTATCTTGTTGCTAAATAATAATTTACTTGACTCGCCCGTGAAAAATGGTTCCGCTGACTCATTTTTTTTACACTTAAATGTTAGTCAGTAATTTAGGTAAGATTGTTACTTGTTTAAGTAATATTCTGTAATAAAAATATTAGAATTATATCGAAGTATTGTAATTTTAGTAAAATGTTTTTGATACACAGTGTTAAAGGATGTTTTAGCAACATTTGACATCTGCCCTCTCTGGTTATATGTGGTGAGGTTTTGCACTAACACTTCCTCAATATTAAAACATGTGTTTTTTAGTAAAAAGTAAACACGTAAAATAAATACGTTATATCGTTGTTTCGGGATAATAAGTCATTATACGTAGTTATTACACGAATAACACGGCTAATGACATGTTTCATATCTAAATATGATGTTTTCCTTTAAGTTTGCGGTTATTATTCTTTATAATGTGATATTTTGCTAAAATTACAATTAACTCTGTGTATTTAAAGGAATGGAATGACTCGATTCCTCCATTCGGTCTGCAAACTGAGGCTAAATTAATAATCAGCATGACAGGATTGACGGCAGCCATTTTGATTTGCTTCTTCTTTGTGACGTCCTACGGGTTCCCACAGCAGAGATGTAGAGAACCACCGAGAGAGGAAAGTAAGAGACCGCAGGGCGACGTAAGTAAGTCTATTTTGTTTTTCTTCAATTGAAACGAAAAAATTGGATATAGGTACGAGAACTAAAAATCATCATCAATCTGTCGTTGTCTCTCTATTTTATTTTTATATTATTTTTATGTATATTATTTTATATTTCTAGCCAGATGTATGAGTAGCCTGTACTTTATGTACTTATACTTATTAAATAGACAGCGAGGTAAATATTTACAATTAAGTTGATTTTTTCTATTATATATTTAATGGTTTTTCCTGTTTTTTTTTTAGAATCTTTAGTAACTATCTTCACTGGAGCAGGCTGTCCAAGTAGCACCAAACCATCATTGGCGGGATGTGGTGAAGTGAATATGTAAGTATTGTACAATTATTACAGATTCATATAACTTGTTCCTTGTATACATACATTTACACGTTTGAACATATTATAATATAAACACAGTAAATTTTTATTTTATCTATTTCAGATATTCTACTCACGATTTCATCACACAAAAAGCAGTGATACATCTTAAAAAAGACAAGTTGAAGAAACTATGAATTTTGCCTTCAGGTTAAATGCACTTCTATCTGTAGAATTTTACGACTGGAAATTAATATTATTACTTAAAAAGACGATCGTTTATTTCATTTACATTTAATAAATAATTTTTAAGCACAGATTTCAAATAAAATCAAGAACGAGTTGTCGAGGTTCATTTCGTAAATGTCACGGTCCACACAAACAGCTAATGACTAGATTCAGAATGTTATTGATATTCCAACGAGGTCTGAATTCCATTTTATTTATATACTTGAAATGTATAACACCGGACCGACTGAGACATGACGGTCCGAAGTCTATGTATTTTTTTGGAACACTTATAATTTATTGGCCGATACTTTATTAGTACTAATTACTGTCTCTAAGTGTTTCACTAGGTTACTTGAAAGCCTCTCACGTTTCAATATAAATGATTTATTGACACACGTGTAAATTAATTTATTGAAAAATACGCGAAACTGTAAATTAATACACTTATTACGGTTTTTTAAACAACCTTCTTACTAATATTATAAATACGAAAGTTTGTTAGAGATTGTAGCCTAAACTGTTGAACGGGTCTCGCTGAAATATGGTTCAGATGTAGAACATAGCCTGTAAGAACACAGGCTATTCACTTTTTTTTTATTAATTCCACGCTGACGGAGTCGAAGGAGAAAGCTAGTTAAATAATGTATCTTTATATAATATCGATTTTATCAATATAACGGGTATTCCATTACATGAAGAAGTGAGAAGTGCTCAGTAAACCACAGCTAGAGCCTTGCATTTAATTTGTAACCGGAGACCTCGCAAACTCGCAGTCAATGAGCTTCTTTTATGAAGCGAAACCGTGAGCCGAAACATAAATACAAAAACAAAATATTATCCTTTCATTCCGTGACTTTTGTACAAAGAATATTTCCTTGTTTAAATATCAACAAGCTAAATAATACGTGTAAGTTTATATTCGCTTACTTATCGCTAAGGAAAACTCGCGAACAAAGAGGTCAGCGTAACTCAGTTTTATGTACAGTCTGCATTCCTCGCCATCGCAAAGCGTGTTGCCTAATCGCTGCAGCTAGACATGCAAATTTTATTAATGCCATAATAAGCTAAAGTGATTTTCAACGAATTATGCCTTTTATGGGTAAAGTATCGCAATAGAGAATTCTGTTTAATAAGGATAAATAAAATGCAATCGAGTTGCCGCGAAAGTCGCCATGTTGGATCGGGGCCTAACCTAGGTTAACCGCGTCGTGACTCCTCGCCCCCTGCACTCCGCGTGCCTTCACCCCGCCCCCGCCCCGGCCCGACACCGCTCACGGGAAACCTTCACGCTTGTGTTCGGTTACATCGTACCCGATTACAAAATCCGTTTCAACAAACTACACTTCCCAATTCAATAAATCCGAATGTAATTCAAGATTATGAATAAACTTTGTAAATGGGTCTTTGTGAACGATGAATTCATACGATTTCACAAGATTTACACCAAATGTGTTTAATATGATCCTACTTTGTTATTCCTGTTGCTTCTTATAAGTTCTCTATGTTTAAATGAACATAAGCAAATAAATAACTAATGAATTTCAAGAAAAAATCTAGATTTAATTAAGTGGATCAAACTCCAAATCTCAACTCAGCTGTGGTTCAAAGTACAAGTAACAAGTTACATAAAAGCTATTTGCCGTTACGTTTGCAACTGCACTATTTACTAACAACTTCCTTAAAGATAAGCTTTGAGCTTTTAATGCATTATTTGTTTGAATCACATGCGTATTACTTACAAATTGATTTTGTAACTTTTCAGCTTGTCACTAACAATATTTACAAGTTTCAGGAACTTAAGCCTTCTTCTATTTTGTCAAAGTGCATGACAGGCTAACAGGCGTATTGGTTTCTTGGTGTAAGGTAGTTTGAGGTGGGCGTTATATAATGGCGCTTAAATTGTTTCCGCATTGCAGTATCAGGCGATAGCTCACGCCGGGACTGTCCTGCGGAATGTGGGAATTATGTTTGTGTACACAACTACGGTTCGATCATACGCCACATAAA